GGTCTGGGCATTGAAAAAGTTAAGCCCCTATTTGTATGGACAAGAATTTTCACTTGTGACTGATCACAACCCACTCGTTTGGCTTAACCGGGTCTCAGGAGACAATGGGAGACTGCTGAGATGGAGCTTGGCCCTACAGCCCTACAATTTTACCATCAGCTACAGACCCGGTAAGCTGAACGGGAATGCAGATGGGTTGTCACGACAAACAGACGTTTCCCTCACCTCGTAGTCCGGTCATCCCCAAGTTGACCCGCCACAGGGTCAAACCAGGTCTGCCGGAGTGTCCCACAAGGAGGGAGCCGTGTGACAGAACCATCTGTCTGCCTGGATTCTTACTACGTTCGTCTGTTTGACCCCCGTTCGTATGAATGGCTGGTGTTAAGACACCTCCCGTGTCTTTAAGCCAAACCGCCGTTTAGTAAACCTTCCCCGGCTGCAGTACAGTCTCTGTTCGCTTACTCTGTAACCCACGAACCAAATGCAGGGGAAGCGACAATCTCCCGATCGAAATCCACGAACGGCTCCAAACTCCCGAACGGCAATATACGAACTGCTAGGAACCGTCGAACAATAATATCCCCAAAGCGGCTTTCGTTCCATCCAGCAGTCTCTAACCGTGAAGAAGAAATCCCCCCAATAACGAGACAGAAGCTCCGCATTGAGGGTCAAATAAGATCTGGTTTTACTGTGGGCTACCTGCCCGTATTTATGCAGGTCTCCCACCTGGTGGACACTCCCCTAGGGGACCAAATGGAAGACTTAAATTACAGACAGATAGAAGGACATTTCTGACACACAGTCACATCTCTTACCCACAGTGCATTCTGATTCCCTCCCCTCTGTCCTGGAGTTAATTACCAAGTAACTCAATTAACTCCAGGACAAGGACAGTCGCCATTTAAACATAAAATAATAAAAGACATAAAAATGCATAACTACATGAAAACTGAACATTTCCCATTCGTATTACATGTCCCCAGATAGCCTGGATCTGAGTGCATATTATTGGCGAATAGCGCTCAGATCCCACACACATAGTTCAATCGCCATGGAGTCAAAGTTCTTACAGTCTTTCGGTATACGAATGACTCCATGGGAGGGCTATCTGGGTTAAGTCTTTCGTATGCTCTCAATCTCCCGAACAGCCGGTGTTCGCATGCTTTCGTGGAGGCAGCCAGGCGTTCCCTTGTTTCAGCGGTGTTCGACAGAAAAAGTGTCCGTTTTCCGTTCCATAGAAATAGAGCCAAACACCGCTGAGCGTTCGCATGATTTAAAATGGCCGCTGCCTCGTGGTCGACATACGAACGACGACCACCCTGAGTTCGGTTTAATTGAGAAGTGTCTGCGGTTAACCACAACGTTATAATGGTGATCACTTCGTTAACCTGCAGCACACTCCTCACTTGGGTGGCCGTTCGTTCGGCAGATTTGTTCGGGAAAAAGAGTCATTCGAATGGCTGGGCTATAGAAACCAGCCATTCATACGAACGGGGACAAACAGACGAACGGGCAAAAATCCAGCAGACAGATGGTTCTGTCACACGGCTTCGGTCTCTGGCTCCCACACCCCACTCTGTGACCCAGGTACTGTACTTCAGCCGTACCTAGATGACACTTTTCTGGCTTCAATGTCAGGCCAGCGGCCCTAATCTTATCCAGCACTACCCCTACATGTACCAGGTGTTCCTCCCAGGACCCACTGTAGATCGCAATGTCGTCCAAGTATGCACAGGCAAATTCTTGGAAGCCATCCAGGAGTCTATCCACCATCCGTTGGAAGGTAGCCGGTGCATTTTTCATCCCAAAAGGCATGACCTTAAATTGGTACAGGCCAAATGGGGTGACAAATGCCGACTTGGGGATAGCATCCTCGGCCAGGGGGATCTGCCAGTAGCCCTTACACAGGTCTATGGTGGTCAGATATCGCCCCCTGGCAATACGATCTAGTAATTCGTCTACCCGGGGCATTGGGTAGGCGTCAGTGGTGGTCCGCTCGTTGAGTCGCCTGTAGTCCACACAGAACCGGGTGGTCCCATCTTTCTTTGGCACCAGGACTACAGGCGAGGCCCAAGGGCTGTCGGAGTGCTCGATAACCCCAAGTTGGGTCATCTCCTGTATCTCCTTCCGCATTCCTTCGCGGACTGCTTCAGGGATACGGTAGGGGGGCTGTCGTAACGGGGTCTGTCCAGGGGTCTCTACCTTATGCACAGCTAGGGTGGTATAACCTGGTTCCTGGGAGAACGTCGCCTGCTTCTCCCATAACAACTGCTGCGCCTGTACCCTTTCTGTGGGGTTCAACCGGTCCCCTAGCTGTACAAGGGTAGTAAGGTCAGTCTGGGAATCCCTTTCTAATAGATCTGGAAGGGGTAAGTTCTCAGAATCATCTGCAGCTGGGGCACATACTGCTGCAATATTCTCAGGTCTCTCCTGGTACTCTTTCAGCATGTTCACATGAAAGGACCGCTGGATCCTCTCATCTGCACAGCTGGCTATCAAGTAAGTAGTGTCGCAGATCTGCGCCACTACCTTGTACGGGCCCTGCCAAGATGCCTGCATCTTGTTGGCCTTCACAGGTTTAAGCACCAATACCTTTTGCCCAACCTGGAAGACCCGCTGTCGGGCACCCTGATCGTACCATCTCTTCTGTCTCCCCTGGGCCGCCTGGAGATTCTCCCTTACCATCAGGGACAGTTTCTCCATGCGGTCCCGGAGTTCCAAAACATATGGTACTATGGGGATCCCTTCCTGCTCCGTCTCCCCCTCCCAGTGGCCTCTAATGAGATCTAGGGGTCCGCGGACCCTTCTCCCATACAGCAGCTCAAAGGGGGAGAACCCAGTAGATTCCTGGGGCACCTCTCTATAAGAAAATAATAGATGAGGCAGGAATCTCTCCCAGTCTCTGCAAGTGTCTGTAAAGGTCCTCAGCATCTGTTTGAGGGTACCGTTAAAGCGCTCGCAGAGACCGTTAGTCTGTGGGTGGTAGGGTGAGCTAAGTAACGGCTTAATGCCGCACACCTTCCACAGTTGCTGGGTGAGCACAGCGGTGAATTGGGTTCCCTGGTCGGAGAGGATCTCCTTAGGGAACCCGACCCTAGTAAAAATTCTAACCAGGGCATCAGCAGCCGTCTCTGCCTCTATGTTAGACAGCGCTACTGCCTCTGGATAGCGGGTGGCATAGTCCACCACGGTAAGAACATACTTCTTACCGGATGGACTAGCCCTGGCCAGTGGACCCACAATGTCAACGGCTATGCGGGCAAAGGGCTCCCCTATAATAGGCATCGATAATAGCCTAGCCTTAGGGTGGTCCCCCCGCTTTCCTACCCGTTGACATGTGTCACACGTGCTGCAGTACATCCGCACAGCCTGGTTAAAGTTTGGCCAAAAGAAGTTCTGTGAAATCCTATAGGCTGTGCGGCGGGACCCTAGATGTCCAGCTAAAGGAACATCATGCCCTATCCGCAGAATCTCCTGCCGGAACTTTGCAGGTACCACTAACTGGCGATTCGGCGGAGTGGCAACACTCTTCTGGGAAGGTTTAGGGATCCTATACAACCTGTCCCCCACCCACTCATACCGTTCCCCATCTATTCCTTCCTCCCCAGCATCTGCCCTGTCCTTGTATCTTTGGAGGGTCGGATCTGCCCGGGTTTCCCTCCCAAACTCCTCTGGGGAATCCCAGCTTAAGGGAACCTGATCTGGGGTACCAGTCGGGGAAGGAGATCTTACCTGGGTCTCGTCAGCAAGTGGGCTGGTTCCGGCAGCACGGGTCTGGGCACGGGTGGTCACTGGGTTCACGTCTGCAGGGCCCATCGGAGCATAGGCTGAAACCAAAGGGCCAAATCGTTTCCCAAAAGAACATCTGCGGGCAAGTCCTTCATCACCCCCACATCCACATGCCTAGCGCCCACTCCCCAATCCAAATGTACTCGGGCAACAGGTAAGCGAAACACGGCACCCCCTGCTACCCTTACTGCCACAGTGTCCCCAGTGTGCTGATGCTCTGAGACCAAGTTCTTTTGGAGCAGTGTCATCGTGGCTCCTGTGTCTCTCAGCCCATTCACCACTTTGCCATTCAGCTTCACAGTTTGCCGATGTTGCTGGCGATTATCCTGGTGAGCTGCTTGCACTGGGTCTGCCTCGTGTAGAATGCCCCAAAATTCCTCCTGCTCTAGGCAGTGAGCAGCAGGCTGAGGTGGGCGCTGGTTTCCATTAACTGGTCTCCTCCAGGACTGAGCCTGGTTGGCACTGTTCAGTGGGCACTCAGGACGCTTGTGCCCCAACTGCTTGCACCCATAGCACCGGATGGGTTGGGAGTACTCCCGGGCATTAAATCGGGCTGGTTGCATATAATTGTTAGCTGGTAGTGCAGCTGGGGTACGGTGTACTGGGGGTTGGTAGACTGCAGGAGCGGGTGTTACTGCTGGTCGATACTCCAGTCTGGCAGGGGCTTTAGCAGCTGTACCATCCAACTTCCGGGCATCCGTGTATTCGTCTGCCAGACGGGCAGCCTCGGGTAGGGTAGAGGGTTTTCTGTCTCTGACCCATTCCCGGACCCCAGCAGGTAGTCTATCAAAGCAGTGCTCCAGCAGGAACACTTGTAACACCTCCTCCCCAGTTACCGCTTGGCATCCCGCCATCCAGTGGGCTGCGGTACGATGGACTCTGCAGGCCCATTCCACATAAGAGTCCCCAACCAGCTTGTTGGTTTCTCTAAACCTCCGCCTGTACGCCTCTGGGGTCACTGCATGCCTGGCTAGGAGCGCCTCTTTCACAGCCCGGTAGCTGGTGATCTCCTCCTCTGGGATGGCCCGAAAAGCTTCACTAGCCCGGCCAGATAATTTCCCAGAGAGGATGGTGACCCATTCATCTGCAGGTACCTGATGTAGCGCACACTGCCTCTCAAAGTCTGCCAAAAATCCATCAATCTCTCCCTCTGTTTCCACAAAATTTTTAAATGCAGCAAAAGGTACCTTCTTTCTAGCAACCACATTATTGTCATACGGTACCTCTGCTGCTGCAGCTCCTCTTTCCCGGGCCGCCTGTTGTGCTGCAACTGCTGCCTGCACATGAACCACGATGTCAGCTGAGGGGTTGGGGCCAAAATGTGCCAGCCTTATTTGTACTGCCCGGTTGAATTGTATTTCCTCGGGTGTTAAATCCAAGGTACTGGGCACGTTGACTCTTTCCATTCCCGTTGCTGCATCCATCTCCATTAGCAAAGCAATAATCTCCCGTTTCTTTAAATTGCTTGCTGACCTTCCTCGGCGTTCCAATATGTCCTTAAGTGTAGCACGCCTTAATTCCTCGTACTGCATGTCTCGTAGCTGACCTCCAATGCTGTAGGATTCATCCCGTCGCTTGCCACCAATTGTTAAGACACCTCCCGTGTCTTTAAGCCAAACCGCCGTTTAGTAAACCTTCCCCGGCTGCAGTACAGTCTCTGTTCGCTTACTCTGTAACCCACGAACCAAATGCAGGGGAAGCGGCAATCTCCCGATCGAAATCCACGAACGGCTCCAAACTCCCGAACGGCAATATACGAACTGCTAGGAACCGTCGAACAATAATATCCCCAAAGCGGCTTTCGTTCCATCCAGCAGTCTCTAACCGTGAAGAAGAAATCCCCCCAATAACGAGACAGAAGCTCCGCATTGAGGGTCAAATAAGATCTGGTTTTACTGTGGGCTACCTGCCCGTATTTATGCAGGTCTCCCACCTGGTGGACACTCCCCTAGGGGACCAAATGGAAGACTTAAATTACAGACAGATAGAAGGACATTTCTGACACACAGTCACATATCTTACCCACAGTGCATTCTGATTCCCTCCCCTCTGTCCTGGAGTTAATTACCAAGTAACTCAATTAACTCCAGGACAAGGACAGTCGCCATTTTAAACATAAAATAATAAAAGACATAAAAATGCATAACTACATGAAAACTGAACATTTCCCATTCGTATTACATGTCCCCAGATAGCCTGGATCTGAGTGCATATTATTGGCGAATAGCGCTCAGATCCCACACACATAGTTCAATCGCCATGGAGTCAAAGTTCTTACAGTCTTTCGGTATACGAATGACTCCATGGGAGGGCTATCTGGGTTAAGTCTTTCGTATGCTCTCAATCTCCCGAACAGCCGGTGTTCGCATGCTTTCGTGGAGGCAGCCAGGCGTTCCCTTGTTTCAGCGGTGTTCGACAGAAAAAGTGTCCGTTTTCCGTTCCATAGAAATAGAGCCAAACACCGCTGAGCGTTCGCATGATTTAAAATGGCCGCTGCCTCGTGGTCGACATACGAACGACGACCACCCTGAGTTCGGTTTAATTGAGAAGTGTCTGCGGTTAACCACAACGTTATAATGGTGATCACTTCGTTAACCTGCAGCACACTCCTCACTTGGGTGGCCGTTCGTTCGGCAGATTTGTTCGGGAAAAAGAGTCATTCGAATGGCTGGGCTATAGAAACCAGCCATTCATACGAACGGGGACAAACAGACGAACGGGCAAAAATCCAGCAGACAGATGATTCTGTCACAGCTGGTTTCTATAGCCCAGCCATTCGAATGACTCTTTTTCCCGAACAAACCTGCCAAACGAACGGCCACCCAAGTGAGGAGTGTGCTGCTGGTTAACGAAGTGATCCCAATTAGAACGTTGTGGTTAACCGCAGACACTTCTCAATTAAACCGAATTCAGGGTGGTCGTCGTTCGTATGTCGACCACGAGGCAGCGGCCATTTTAAATCAAGCGAACGCCCAGCGGTGTTTGGCTCTATTTCTATGGAACTGAAAACGGACACTTTTTCTGCCGAACACCGCTGAAACAACGGAACGCCTGGCTGCCTCCACGAAAGCATGCGAACACCGGCCGTTCGAGAGATTGAGAGCATACGAAAAGACTTAACCCAGATAGCCTTCCCATGGAGTCATTAGTATACCGAAAGACTGTAAGAACTTTGACTCCATGGCGATTGAACTAGGTGTGTGGGATCGGAGTGCTATTCGCTAATAATATGCACTCAGATCCAGGCTATCTGGGGACATGTAATACGAATGGGAAATGTTCAGTTGTTATGTAGTTATATATTTTTATGTCTTTTATTATTTTATGTCTAAGATGGCGACTGGCTTTGTCCTGGAGTTAATTGAGTTACTTGGTAATTAACTCCAGGGCAGAGGGGAGGGAATCATAATGCACTGTGGGTAAAATCTGTGACTGTGTGTCTGGGATGTGCCCAGATCTGTCTGTAATTTAAGTCTCCCATTTGGTCCCCTAGGGGAGTGTCCACCAAGTGGGAGACCTGCATAAATACGGGCAGGTAGCCCACAGTAAAGCCAGATTCTGTTTGACCCTCAATGCGGAGCTTCTGTCTCGTTATTGGGGGGGGGGGATTTCTTCTTCACGTTTAGAGACTGCTGGATGGAACGAAAGCCGCTTGGTGAATATTGCTGTTCGACGGTTACCAGCAGTTCGTGTATTGCCGTTCGGGAGTTGGAGCCGTTCACGGATCTCGTTCGGGAGATTGCCGCTTCCCCTGCATTTGGTTCGTGTGTTACAGAGTAAGCGAACGGAGACTGTACTGCAGCCAGGGAAGGTCTACTAAACGGCAGTTTGGCTTAAAGACACTAGAGGTGTCTTAACAACAGAATAAAAATATATAACTTTCTTTTTACACAACATAAACTTTAAGTTCCACATATCCCCAGATAGCTTGGATCTGAGGGCATATTCTAGGCGAATAGCGCTCAGATCCCACGAACACAGTTCTCATAATCGTCGACCGAAGTTTGACTTTCACCGGCCGTTCGTGTGTTTGCAGCCAACTGCAAGTTCCATACTATAGCTATCTGGGGTCGGCCACTTTCGCATTTATTGTTATTTCCACTAAATCCCGCTGTAATTCTCCAAATAACCTAACAGGCTTGTTCGTATAGTCTGTAAATAGGGGATTTCGTTACACAAATTTAAACCTATTTAGTTTAGAAAAACGTCGCCTGAGAGGGGATATGATAACATTATACAAATATATTCGGGGCCAATACAAACCATTGTGTGGAAATCTATTCACAAACCAGACTTTACATAGGACACGAGGCCATGAGTTTAGACTGGAAGAAAGAAGATTTCGTCTAAGGCAAAGGAAAGGTTTTTTTTACTGTAAGAACAATCAGGATGTGGAATTCTCTGCCTGAAGAAGTGGTTTTATCAGAGTCCATACAGATATTCAAACAGCTACTAGATGCATACTTGCAAAAACAGAATATTCAAGGATATAATCTTTCAATGTAGGGTAATAACTACTTGATCCAAGGATAAATCTGACTGCCATTCTGGGGTCAAGAAGGAATTTTTTTCCTAGCTTGTTGCAAAATTGTGCTTCAAACTGGGTTTTTTTGCCTTCTTTTGGATCAACAGCAAAAAACAAATGTGAGGTAGGCTGAACTTGATGGATGCAAGTCTCTTTTCAGCTATGTAACTATGTAACTATGTAACTACTATATCCCCAGATAGCTTGGATCTGAGTGCATATTCTAGGCGAATAGCGCTCAGATCCCACAAACACAGTTCTCAGAATCGTCGACTGAAGTGTGACTTTCACCAGCCGTTCGTGTGTTTGTAGCCGACTGCAAGTTCCATACTATAGCTATCTGGGGTCGGTCACTTTCGCATACTTTCAGCGCACGAATGAAGTAGTCTCCCCTTCATTCGTGTGTTTTTCCACCGTATGAACGAGGATGGGAGAAGGTAGCAGCGGTGTTCGACAAAACAAGTAGCCGAAATCAGTTCCAGGGAATGCTCGCCATTTACCGCTGCGCGTTCGACAATACAAAATGGCGATTGCCACATGTTCGGTAGATGAACGCGGACCACCAGCTATTCCCCAATTAGTCTGTGGTTAACCGTAATAGTCAGGGTGGTTAATAGGCGCCACACAACCTCAGTGGGAGGTCGGTGGTTCGGTAGTTTTATTCGCTTTTATTGCTATCTCCACGAAATCTCGCTGTAATCCTCCAAATAACCGAACAGGCTTGTTCGTATGGTCTGTAAATAGGGGATTTCGTTACAGAGAGACACTCTGCGTGTTACTGACAGGGTGAGACACTCTGCGTGTTACTGACAGGGAGAGACACTCTGCGTGTTACTGACAGGGAGAGACACTCTGCGTGTTACTGACAGGGAGAGACACTCTGTGTGTTACTGACAGGGAGAGACACTCTGCGTGTTACTGACAGGGAGAGACACTCTGCGTGTTACTTTGACGAGACACTCTGAAATTATTTACTGACAGGGAGAGACACTTACTCTGCGTGTTACTGACAGGAAGACACTCTGCGTGTTGCAGCAGGAAGAGACACTTTCTAGAGTATTACTGACAGGAGAACACTCGCAGCGTTACTGACGGGGAGAACACTCTGGCGTTACGACAGGGGAGGGCACTCTGCGTGTTACGGCAGGAGAGACACTCTGTGTTACTGACAGGGGAGGCACTTTCTAGTGTTACTGACAGGGAGAACACTCTGCGTGGTACTGACAGGGGAGAGACACTCCTGCGTTATTTTGACGGGAGGAGCATAAGTGTTGCGACGGGAGGGACACTCTAATATTTACTGACAGGGAGAGACACTCTGCGTGTTACTGACAGGGAGAGACACTCTGCGTGTTACTGACAGGGAGAGACACTCTGCGTGTTACTGACAGGGAGAGACACTCTGCGTGTTACTGACAGGGAGAGACACTCTGCGTGTTACTGACAGGGAGAGACACTCTGCGTGTTACTGACAGGGAGAGACACTCTGCGTGTTACTGACAGGGAGAGACACTCTGCGTGTTACTGACAGGGAGAGACACTCTGCGTGTTACTGACAGGGAGAGACACTCTGCGTGTTACTGACAGGGAGAGACACTCTGCGTGTTACTGACAGGGAGAGACACTCTGCGTGTTACTGACAGGGAGAGACACTCTGCGTGTTACTGACAGGGAGAGACACTCTGCGTGTTACTGACAGGGAGAGACACTCTGCGTGTTACTGACAGGGAGAGACACTCTGCGTGTTACTGACAGGGAGAGACACTCTGCGTGTTACTGACAGGGAGAGACACTCTGTGTGTTACTGACAGGGAGAGACACTCTGCGCGTTACTGACAGGGAGAGACACTCTGCGTGTTACTGACAGGGAGAGACACTCTGTGTGTTACTGACAGGGAGAGACACTCTGCGCGTTACTGACAGGGAGAGACACTCTGTGTGTTACTGACAGGGAGAGACACTCTGCGCGTTACTGACAGGGAGAGACACTCTGCGTGTTACTGACAGGGAGAGACACTCTGCGTGTTACTGACAGGGAGAGACACTCTGCGTGTTACTGACAGGGAGAGACACTCTGCGTGTTACTGACAGGGAGAGACACTCTGCGCGTTACTGACAGGGAGAGACACTCTGCGTGTTACTGACAGGGAGAGACACTCTGCGTGTTACTGACAGGGAGAGACACTCTGCGTGTTACTGACAGGGAGAGACACTCTGCGTGTTACTGACAGGGAGAGACACTCTGCGTGTTACTGACAGGGAGAGACACTCTGCGTGTTACTGACAGGGAGAGACACTCTGCGTGTTACTGACAGGGAGAGACACTCTGCGTGTTACTGACAGGGAGAGACACTCTGCGTGTTACTGACAGGGAGAGACACTCTGCGTGTTACTGACAGGGAGAGACACTCTGCGTGTTACTGACAGGGAGAGACACTCTGCGTGTTACTGACAGGGAGAGACACTCTGCGTGTTACTGACAGGGAGAGACACTCTGCGTGTTACTGACAGGGAGAGACACTCTGCGTGTTACTGACAGGGAGAGACACTCTGCGTGTTACTGACAGGGAGAGACACTCTGCGTGTTACTGACAGGGAGAGACACTCTGCGTGTTACTGACAGGGAGAGACACTCTGCGTGTTACTGACAGGGAGAGACACTCTGCGTGTTACTGACAGGGAGAGACACTCTGCGCGTTACTGACAGGGAGAGACACTCTGCGTGTTACTGACAGGGAGAGACACTCTGCGTGTTACTGACAGGGAGAGACACTCTGCGCGTTACTGACAGGGAGAGACACTCTGCGTGTTACTGACAGGGAGAGACACTCTGCGTGTTACTGACAGGGAGAGACACTCTGCGTGTTACTGACAGGGAGAGACACTCTGCGTGTTACTGACAGGGAGAGACACTCTGCGTGTTACTGACAGGGAGAGACACTCTGCGTGTTACTGACAGGGAGAGACACTCTGCGTGTTACTGACAGGGAGAGACACTCTGCGTGTTACTGACAGGGAGAGACACTCTGCGTGTTACTGACAGGGAGAGACACTCTGCGTGTTACTGACAGGGAGAGACACTCTGCGTGTTACTGACAGGGAGAGACACTCTGCGTGTTACTGACAGGGAGAGACACTCTGCGTGTTACTGACAGGGAGAGACACTCTGCGTGTTACTGACAGGGAGAGACACTCTGCGCGTTACTGACAGGGAGAGACACTCTGTGTTACTGACAGGGAGAGACACTCTGTGTGTTACCGACAGGGAGAGACACTCTGCGTGTTACTGACAGGGAGAGACACTCTGCGCGTTACTGACAGGGAGAGACACTCTGCGTGTTACTGACAGGGAGAGACACTCTGCGTGTTACTGACAGGGAGAGACACTCTGCGTGTTACTGACAGGGAGAGACACTCTGCGTGTTACTGACAGGGAGAGACACTCTGCGTGTTACTGACAGGGAGAGACACTCTGCGTGTTACTGACAGGGAGAGACACTCTGCGCGTTACTGACAGGGAGAGACACTCTGCGTGTTACTGACAGGGAGAGACACTCTGCGCGTTACTGACAGGGAGAGACACTCTGCGTGTTACTGACAGGGAGAGACACTCTGCGTGTTACTGACAGGGAGAGACACTCTGCGCGTTACTGACAGGGAGAGACACTCTGCGTGTTACTGACAGGGAGAGACACTCTGCGCGTTACTGACAGGGAGAGACACTCTGCGTGTTACTGACAGGGAGAGACACTCTGCGTGTTACTGACAGGGAGAGACACTCTGCGTGTTACTGACAGGGAGAGACACTCTGCGTGTTACTGACAGGGAGAGACACTCTGCGTGTTACTGACAGGGAGAGACACTCTGCGTGTTACTGACAGGGAGAGACACTCTGCGTGTTACTGACAGGGAGAGACACTCTGCGTGTTACTGACAGGGAGAGACACTCTGCGTGTTACCGACAGGGAGAGACACTCTGCGTGTTACTGACAGGGAGAGACACTCTGCGCGTTACTGACAGGGAGAGACACTCTGCGCGTTACTGACAGGGAGAGACACTCTGCGCGTTACTGACAGGGAGAGACACTCTGTGCGTTACTGACAGGGAGGAACACTCTGCGTGTTACTGACGGGGAGAGACACTCTGTAGTATTACGGCCAGGGGAGAGACACTCTGTGCACGTTACTGACGGGGAGACACTCTGTGCGTTACTGACAGGGAGAGACACTCTGCGTGTTACTGACAGGGAGAGACACTCTGCGTGTTACTGACAGGGAGAGACACTCTGCGTGTTACTGACAGGGAGAGACACTCTGCGTGTTACTGACAGGGAGAGACACTCTGCGTGTTACTGACAGGGAGAGACACTCTGCGTGTTACTGACAGGGAGAGACACTCTGCGTGTTACTGACAGGGAGAGACACTCTGCGTGTTACTGACAGGGAGAGACACTCTGCGTGTTACTGACAGGGAGAGACACTCTGCGTGTTACTGACAGGGAGAGACACTCTGCGTGTTACTGACAGGGAGAGACACTCTGCGCGTTACTGACAGGGAGAGACACTCTGCGCGTTACTGACAGGGAGAGACACTCTGCGTGTTACTGACAGGGAGAGACACTCTGCGTGTTACTGACAGGGAGAGACACTCTGCGTGTTACTGACAGGGAGAGACACTCTGTGCGTTACTGACAGGGAGAGACACTCTGTGTGTTACTGACAGGGAGAGACACTCTGCGTGTTACTGACAGGGAGAGACACTCTGCGCGTTACTGACAGGGAGAGACACTCTGCGCGTTACTGACAGGGAGAGACACTCTGCGCGTTACTGACAGGGAGAGACACTCTGCGCGTTACTGACAGGGAGAGACACTCTGCGCGTTACTGACAGGGAGAGACACTCTGCGCGTTACTGACAGGGAGAGACACTCTGCGCGTTACTGACAGGGAGAGACACTCTGCGCGTTACTGACAGGGAGAGACACTCTGCGCGTTACTGACAGGGAGAGACACTCTGCGCGTTACTGACAGGGAGAGACACTCTGCGCGTTACTGACAGGGAGAGACACTCTGCGCGTTACTGACAGGGAGAGACACTCTGCGCGTTACTGACAGGGAGAGACACTCTGCGCGTTACTGACAGGGAGAGACACTCTGCGTGTTACCGATAGGGAGAGACACTCTGCGCGTTACTGACAGGGAGAGACACTCTGCGTGTTACTGACAGGGAGAGACACTCTGTGTGTTACTGACAGGGAGAGACACTCTGCGCGTTACTGACAGGGAGAGACACTCTGCGTGTTACTGACAGGGAGAGACACTCTGCGCGTTACTGACAGGGAGAGACACTCTGCGCGTTACTGACAGGGAGAGACACTCTGCGCGTTACTGACAGGGAGAGACACTCTGCGTGTTACCGACAGGGAGAGACACTCTGCGTGTTACCGACAGGGAGAGACACTCTGCGTGTTACTGACAGGGAGAGACACTCTGTGTGTTACTGACAGGGAGAGACACTCTGCATAAGGGGGCGGGTCCAATGATTGCCACGCCCTCTCTCTTATTTTCAGCCAATCAGAAGCCAGGCATGCTGCTATTTCTGAAAGCCTTTCCTTATATGTTTGGTTTCCATAGAAACGGGTGGGAGCCAATCATGTTGTCCCAGAGTTGTGCGGACACGCCTTGTTGTTGTTTCACATGCCATACTTGCAAATGCGTCATTGCAACCAATCAGCATTCTCCTTTGATACCTTCAGCCAATCACAGGACGCGCTGTGAGCACGCTCTCATGTGATTGGTCAGCATGCAGGTTGTATAGCTCACCGTCCAATCAGTGTCTGCCCTTAGAATCTCTTCATCCAATCAGCGAGCTCACAGTCCCCGCCCCTCCTGCCACGCCCTCAGCAGCTGTGAGCACACTGCGCATGCGCACACTTTCCCCGAGCAGCATGGACGGCATTGAGGTGGAAGTGAAAGGATCGAACGGGGCTTTCTACCCGGTGAGTAACGGGGGGGAGGGGCTCACTGCCCGGTGAGTAACGGGGGGGAGGGGCTCACTGCCCGGTGAGTAACGGGGGGGGGGGGCTCACTGCCCGGTGAGTAACGGGGGGAGGGGCTCACTGCCCGGTGAGTAACGGGGGGAGGGGTTTTTAGTGTGACACCCTGCATTGGAGCGGTTATATAGTGACACCCTGCATTGGAGCGGCTATATAGTGACACCCTGCATTGGTGCGGCTATATAGTGACACCCTGCATTGGAGCGGCTATATAGTGACACCCTGCATTGGAGCGATTATATAGTGACTCCACCATTGGAGGGGCTACATATAGTACCTGCATTGGAAGGCGGCTATATAGTGACACCCCTGCATTGATGCGGCTATATAGTGACACCCTGCATTGGAGCGGCTATATAGTGACACCCTGCATTGGTGCGGCTATATAGTGACTCCCTGCATTGGAGGGGCTATATAGTGACACCCTGCATTGGAGCGGCTATATAGTGACACCCTGCATTGGTGCGGCTATATAGTGACTCCCTGCATTGGAGCGGCTATATAGTGACACCCTGCATTGGAGCGGCTATATAGTGACACCCTGCATTGGTGCGGCTATATAGTGACTCCCTGCATTGGTGCGGCTATATAGTGACTCCCTGCATTGGAGCGGCTATATAGTGACTCCCTGCATTGGAGCGATTATATAGTGACTCCCTGCATTGGTGCGGCTATATAGTGACTCCCTGCATTGGAGCGGCTATATAGTGACTCCCTGCATTGGAGGGGCTATATAGTGACTCCCTGCATTGGAGCGGTTATATAGTGACTCCCTGCATTGGAGCGGCTATATAGTGACTCCCTGCATTGGAGCGGCTATATAGTGACTCCCTGCATTGGAGCGGCTATATAGTGACTCCCTGCATTGGAGGGGCTATATAGTGACTCCCTGCATTGGAGCGGCTATATAGTGACACCCTGCATTGGAGCGGCTATATAGTGACACCCTTCATTGGAGGGGCTATATAGTGACTCCCTGCATTGGAGCGGCTATATAGTGACACCCTTCATTGGAGGGGCTCTATAGTGACTCCCTGCATTGGAGGGGCTATATAGTGACTCCCTGCATTGGAGGGGCTATATAGTGACTCCCTGCATTGGAGCGGCTATATAGTGACTCCCTGCATTGGAGCGGCTATATAGTGACTCCCTGCATTGGAGCGGCTATTTAGTGACACCCTGCATTGGTGCGGCTATATAGTGACACCCTGCATTGGTGCAGCTATATAGTGACACCCTGCATTGGAGCGGCTATATAGTGACACCCTGCATTGGAGGGGCTATATAGTGACTCCCTGCATTGGAGCTGCTATATAGTGACACCCTGCATTGGAGGGGCTATATAGTGACTCCCTGCATTGGAGCGGCTATATAGTGACACCCTGCATTGGAGCGGCTATATAGTGACACCCTGCATTGGAGCGGCTATATAGTGACACCCTGCATTGGAGCGGCTATATAGTGACACCCTGCATTGGAGCGGCTATATAGTGACACCCTGCATTGGTGCGGCTATATAGTGACACCCTGCATTGGAGCGGCTATATAGTGACACCCTGCATTGGAGGGGCTATATAGTGACTCCCTGCATTGGAGCTGCTATATAGTGACACCCTGCATTGGAGGGGCTATATAGTGACTCCCTGCATTGGAGCGGCTATATAGTGACACCCTGCATTGGAGCGGCTATATAGTGACACCCTGCATTGGAGCGGCTATATAGTGACACCCTGCATTGGTGCGGCTATATAGTGACACCCTGCATTGGAGCGGCTATATAGTGACACCCTGCATTGGTGCGGCTATATAGTGACACCCTGCATTGGAGCGGCTATTTAGTGACACCCTGCATTGGTGCGGCTATATAGTGACACCCTGCATTGGAGGGGCTATATAGTGACTCCCTGCATTGGAGCTGCTATATAGTGACACCCTGCATTGGAGGGGCTATATAGTGACTCCCTGCATTGGAGCGGCTATATAGTGACACCCTGCATTGGAGCGGCTATATAGTGACACCCTGCATTGGAGCGGCTATATAGTGACACCCTGCATTGGAGCGGCTATATAGTGACACCCTGCATTGGAGCGGCTATATAGTGACACCCTGCATTGGAGCGGCTATATAGTGACACCCTGCATTGGAGGGGCTATATAGTGACACCCTGCATTGGAGGGGCTATATAGTGACACCCTGCCTTGGAGGGGCTATATAGTGACACCCTGCCTTGGAGGGGCTATAGTGTGACACTCTTCAGGGGAGGGGCTCAGCTGTGACTTCCTACATCGAAGAGGATTTGGTGTGACACCCTGCAGGGGAGTGGCTATAGAGTGCAGAGGAAGGGCATAGCTATTAGGATATCACTGCTCCCCAAACTTGAAAACTCTGCCATTCTGCAGAGAGAGGTTTTACAGACTATGAGGGACAGACTCATATCGCCCCCTGTCTGTGTCACCCTACAAGGGGAGGGACAGACTCATAGCGCCCCCTGTCTGTGTCTCTGTGTCACCCTGCAAGGGGAGGGACAGACTCTTAAGCCCCCTGTTTGTGTCACTTTGTCACCCTGCAGGGGGACGGACAGATCCATAGCGCCTCTTGTTGATGTCATCCTGCCAGTGGAGTGACAGACTCCTACCATCCCCAGCCTGTGTTATGTGTAGGGATAGGCACATAGCACTTTTTGTCACATTTCCTCGCAGTTACCGTTGTCTTGATTTCACGTATAACAGGTGTATGTGGTTCAGTTTGCCATATGGCTTATTTATATCTGTGGTGCATTCCGTTGTCATCCTCTGTACAGATCTGGTTTCTCCTGATGGCTGCTGTTACAGTTTGGGAGAGAGTGCATGGGGGGTAATTGACAATGTTTTGTGATTAGAAAAGTAAGGACATTTCCCATGGCTACCAGTGGAATATCACAAACTTGACACTTCACTAAATCTTCCCATTAATATATTGTGTGAGTAGCCTGGCAGTGCCAGTGTAATGCAGTCCTGGTATTGCTGAGATATGAATCTCTGCTACAGGCTGTTGTTCGGTTTAATGCATGTAGTCCTGTATGACTTATGATTTATTTAGGGTTCTGTACATATGGTGTCTGTGACGAAGTGCCCTTCACCACTTGTGCCTGGAGGGGACTACTGGCTAGCCTCCTGCCTTCCGACTATGGCCCCTGTGCTGATAGCGGTATTTTCCCCTGCAATAAAGTTTTTATTTGGGTATTTCTGCCGGGTTGTTCGGGACTTCCAGTATGTGAGTAGTGCTACCCCAGATAGCTAAGCCATGGAGCCAATTTGTGTAAAGAAAGACTATGGGAAAAGACTTTGGCTCCATGGCGATTGAATTGTATGTATGTGGTCTGAGCGCCATTCGATAATAATGTGCACTCAGATCTAAGCTTTCTGGGGATATGTTGCAGGTATATGTTTTATGTAGTAATTGTAACATTGTGTAATTTTATGTCTTTTTGTAACCATGTGGTTAATGGAGTCTTGCCTCTGTCCTGGGAGATAATTTGATTACTTCCCAATTATCTCCAGGATAGAGAGGAGGGATTGTGATGTCACTGTGGGAGTGTTTTGTTTGTATTGTCTGTGATTGGTTATACTGTGTCCCACCCTGTGGGATGTCCCCTTGCATGGGGACTTGCATAAAAGCCAGTGTGTGGCCATTAAAACCAGATCATCTTGTACCTTTCTTGAAGCCTTTGCTCATGTTTGGGGGAAGGGATACCTACACTCTGGGGATTGCTATAATCACTTACTCCCCAGAGTAAGCTCTTGCAATAGCTTGATTTGTCCCTGCTACGCTCTCTGGATTTAGGAGAGGTTCACCCACTGGAAGCTGGATCCTGGCCTTGGATCCAGGGTGGGTGAGAGACGGCGAGACCCCGGCGCAGCTGCATCGCTGGAAGTGGGGTCTGCAGTGCTGATGGTGTCGGTTGGAGTGCTCGGAGTCCTCGGCAAGCGCTAGGAGTATCGATTGGTGGAGGTACTCAGTCGGAGTGCCAGCGTTCCATCACAGTGTCTTTTGTTACATGCCCTCTTTCCCTTATCTATGGTACTGCCATATTGAGCCATGTAATCCCACACTGCCTCACTGCCCGGGACCTGTTCAGTGACCTCTTTCTGTCTGACGATCTAACAATTGCATACATCTGATTCCTTGGATCCTATCTGCCCCATCTGCCAAAATCTGTTTACCCAACACATGACATCTTCCCCTTTTTTTACCCATTTTCTGTGCCCATATTGTGTCATCCATTCCATTAAATGGATACTGTATGCACCATAGATGCTTGATCTCAGGGAAGTGGTTATAGTGTCTGGAGTCCTCTTGCGCCAACCTTCCATTCAGTATTAAACTCTTTTTTAATGTTTCAGTGCTAAAGAAAATCTCCCAGCAAACCTTTGTAGCTTGGGCTAATGAAGATGAATTAAACTGAGCAGCAATGGTGTTGTGGTCGTGACCTAAATATGAATATTAATCTCTTAATACATAATAATTAAGCAATACAGAACAACATTAATATTTTTATAATTCATGGTATTATGGTTGAATATGTGTATAGAAAATACACAAAACGTTGTAATATTAAATGTATATTTAATATAACTATAACAAATAAACAGATGCTAGGAGAATGTCAATTTACTACAATTATGATACAA